TTCTTGCACTGTCTTTGTTGTTGTTTTTTATTTGAGCCATTATTGATTTGTTTCCAGTTTTGTTTGTTTGGTTCAACCCGGTCTTTGCCTTTTTTCTCCATTTTAGTATTTGTCCAATTGACGCATTTGCTTGTCTTGGTTTTATGAATTTCTTTACCACGTCAATATCTTTTTCGTATGTAATTTGTTTCATTTCTGCATTTGCAACTTCTTCAGCTCTGCATATGTCAATCGCTTTAGTTAAAGTTAAATCCGTTCCTTTTCTAAGTAGATTATTTTGGACTTTGTTTGATTTGATTCCGTCAATTATTTTGTATAATAATAGACCATCTTGAATGTTTTCAAACTCGCATGTTTGAGCCAGATTGTTTAAATCAGTTACAAAGAAATCAAATGATTCATTGACGTCTTGTTTTTGTAAGAAAAACTTTCTTCGTTCCAAAACCAGATTTCTTTTCGGTAAACAATATTCTTCGAATCTTTCAAAAAGTTCTTTTACCGTGATGTCATCGATTTCACCGTCGTCATTTTCTGTTTTGTTCCAAGTCCACGTATTGAATATTTCTCTTCCTTTTTCACCGATCACAAATAAAAATGTCGCGTATTTTTCTTCCTCAGATTTATTTGTCATTGCTGCTTTTAGATACAACTGCATAGTTTGTTTCCGTTTTTTCCATGTTACTGCTATATTGGATTCATTGAAGTCCATTTCATTTGGCAAAAAGTGTTCCATTTTCTTTTTCTTTTTAAAATAAGTACTTTTCCAAAATCTCTTCTTAAAATGTCTTCAGTTCACTTCTGGTATCATGTAATGTTTTGTCTTTATATTTATTATAAAGAGAATTCGACTATGATTTTTATTTAATATTTATTTCAATATTTTTATATTAAATTATCACAACTAGTTTAAATATAAAACTCTGTATAGTTTCGCGTCGAAACTTCAACTGTAATTTAATTCAGCACACTGGCTTTTAAGCGAGAATTCCTCGTGAGGAATTCTCTCAAGGGAATACTTTCGTTATAAGTTTTTGTGCGATTCGCAAATAGGAATTGCTTGTTTTGCAATCGCTAATTGCTATTCTAAATTGCTTTGTGTAACAATCATTACAAGCAGCAAGTAAAATAGATATATACTGTTGATAGTATTCTTCCTTATAAATATCTGAAAACCTGATGCGACGATATGTGCTAAAAACATACCCACATAAATAGGTAATAACAGATCGATCCCTATTTGAAAGTACAAAACCCTTTCCAGATGAAATTGTATCATTCTGAAATGATTGACCAGAAAGATGCGACAGTATATGGTTACACGCTTCAAATCCAAGTAATGTGGAACACTGTGTATTTAATCCTATAAAAAATTTTGTCAAAGATACATTTGTCAAAGAATAGAGACAATTTTGTCAAAGATACATTTGCAAAAATCTGGATAAAAAATTTCGGCATTTCCTTGAAATAAAGATAATCGGTTTTATAATCTGGTATGCTGTGTTAGCTATATCAAAAATTATCACATAAGCTTTACAATGATTTTGTATGGACTTAAAACAATTATCTGATAAAACCTTTGCAACACTTCTTTCTAAATATAACTGAAAGTCTTCAAGATCAAGAATTGCTTTTGATATTTTAGTTTTTCTAATATCTTTTAAAACTTGATAAAACATCGGAATGTTTACTATTTACGTGATGAGTGAGACCTCTAGAGTTCAAACATTTCTTGTTACAAAGTTGACAGGAAAGTATTATTTGTGGAATATCTGAAGCATGTTGTTTTTCAGCAATGTCATTTAACAAATCCTGGTTAATAACTTCAAAAATAGAATCAAGCTCGTCTTGATGCAACTCAAAAATAGTCTCAAAATTATACAAATCTTTTGAACTTTCAGCCATCATAAAAGTTTGTTTTGCACCTTATTTACAAAGACCACCTGATTTTCAACTTTAACAATTAAGTGTTTTAGTGACATTTCTTGTTGTACGTAAAGTTAAAATAAGTTGTAAAACATCAAAACAGCTTCGTACTAACTAATGTTTCTTTTGTGATATTTCGGTCTAATTTGTATAGACCATCATCAGACGTAAATTACAATTGGAATTTACGTCTGATGATGGTTTATACAAATTAGACCGAAATACAGTGCTGTTTTGATGTTTTACAACTTAACTTAAACAATAAAAACTATTGAAAACGGCCTGCGTTTCCAGACTATACTTTTTATGACTATGTTTTAAAGTTGGTGTATTTTTATACTTTTTTTGCGAAAATAGTTTTTTTTTTGCTAAACTCGTGACGTAATGCCCAATTTTACATTGCGTGAAACATCCATGTCGGTGATATACGGTTTGCTATTAATAACTAATTCATTCATTGAGTTTATTTCCTAAGAGTCAAGAAAGTATAAGACAATAGAGGTTCGAGACCAATACCAAGACTCTAGGCTTTCAAGACCAAGACCAAGACAGTTAAATGAGTCATCTCTGATATATAAATGTTTACTCTCGAGTTCCTAATAAACGCCCCCCCCCCCCCCGTTTAATAATTTTTGAATACTTTTCCCACCCACCCTAAGCTTATTAAGACCCGCCCGTTTATTAACTTTTACTTGTCAACAAAATTATATCTCAAAAGTAAAAAAAAAAAATCAGTGAAAATCGGCCTTATTAATTTGAAAACAATTTTCAGTCACCGATAAAAACAAAAACTTTCAGTGTAAACAGGTTTTACAAATTGTCGACCTATTAAATCTCGATTTGCTAAAAATGAACTTTTAGTTTATTTCTCAACAAAGCTTTGGTTTTAATTATAGGATTTAATATGCTGTATATAAATTTTATACTTTACAGTATAAAACTTATATCAGCATATTAAATCCTATTGAAATTATGATAAAGCCTAACCCTACCCTAACAGCAGTTAGAAAATGCGCTTTTGACCGCAAGTCAAATGCGCATTTGACTTGAACATGCATAATTTGCATGCCGAATAAACAGAGGAGGAAGGGGGTGGCATTGAACATGCCCCCCTCACCCCGTTTATTAAATTAAAAAAAAAATCTCCCCACCTCCTTTATTAACCCCCCCCCCCCCCCGTTTATTAGATTTTGACTAAAATTCCCACCCACCCGTTGTATTCGGCACTCGAGAGTATGTGTATATATATATATATATATATATATATATATATATATATATATATATATATATATATATATATATATATATATATACATATATATATATATATGTACATGTATGTATGTATGTGTATATATATAAGTATATATATATATATATATATAAGTATATATATATATATATAAGTATATATATATATATATATATATATATATATATATATATATATATATATATATATATACACATACTCTCGAGTGCCGAATACATATATATATATATATATATATATATATATATATATATATATATATAAGTATATATATATATATATATATATATATATATATATATATATATATATATATATATATATATATATATATACATATATATATATATGTATGTGTATATATATATATATATATATATATATATATATATATATATATATATATATATATATATATACATATCATTACAACCTAATATACACGAGTGTATAAAGTTTTCATTAGAAGAATGACCACAATTCTATCTATGAAAATAAGCCCGTTATATACTACTAACATATATATGTGCTAAGTTTTACAAAACTTGAAGCTTGTAAAGTCTATAAGAATACAGTATTTTAAGTTTACAAAAATACAAGATTCATACAAGACTTTTATTAGAACTAAAGTTTACAAGATTATTTTTTTATATTATCATCCTTTGTCAAAGTCAAGTCTTTTTTCATCCTTTGTCAAAGTCAAGCTGCTTTTACATTACATTGTTTTTTGTTCCTAAGCGAGTATTTTTTAACTTCTCCTTTTTTTAGCTTTTACGATGAGTTTCTTTTGTTGGTTGATTTGTTTTAGGGCTTTCTTTTCTTCTGACAAACGAATTTCATTTCTGATTGGAGTATCAGTCACAATCTTTGTTTTTAATTGCCTACTTTAAACACTTCTTTTTCTAGCAGATGCTTTCGGGTAAGGTTTCAAAACTTCAGGTGAGAGTAATGAAGCAATGCTTGGTGACACTTTGTTCGAAAAACTTGTTTCATGATGTACTACAGGCATTTCAGGCTCCATGCCATCAACATGTGCTACAGTCTCTTCAGGTTCCACAAGATTTGTTTACTACATTTGGAGCAGCGCGATCTGTAACTGATGATGGTAAATATTCATCATCTTTAAAAATTTCTGGACTAAATGGCTCAATGCCAGCTACTTGAAATCCTCTCTGTATATTAGATGGGGAGAAAGCTTTTGTATATGGTTCGCGAACTATTGAAACAATATCATAAATGGTCATAGGTCTTGGATTTGTGACCATCCAATTATCACACGCAGCATTGTAAAACCTTTTCAATTTTAATAGTCCAAAAACAGTTCTATCCAATGGTTGCAATTTATGGGTACAATGGGGAGGAAAACTTAGGATTGTAATTTTATGTTGAATTGCAAGATCTAAAGCTCTAACAGAAATATGACTTTTATGTCTGTCCAGAAGTAACAAAACTGGTTATTCATGAGAACAGTTTGAATACCTCACAAAATGTTTTATCCATTCTATAAAAATGTCTGAATTCATCCAACCAGAAGGATATTTTTTTTTGTGTGGATATTAGAAACTCTATAAATGTTCAAACGTTCAAAACCCCTGAATATGTTTTATTTAAAAAAATTTTAAATTCAATGTTATTTAAAAAGTTTGTTTTCCCTTAAAACCTTATTTTAAAAATTAACAATTAACAATGCTTAATTAATAACGCAAAATTAACTAAAAGTTGAGTGCAAAAATAAAAAAAAAAATTCTTTTATAAAAAAAAAATTATAAACAACTTTATACAACTTTAATACAAAAAATTCTAAATTTTTCAATTTTTTTTTCAATCATATGATTCGAAATCTGATTACTACCTAAGTAAGTAACAAACATCTTCAACATGCTGAGAAGCAACAGCTGATGTAACTGGATAAGTATGCGATGATACAATTACACCAAAAGGTAAATTTATCACAATTAGTCCCATTTGATTAGCTTTCGATACTGAATAAACGCTATGAAAATTATAATGTCTTATAACAAACTTTACTTCTTGTAAATTTATATCAATAGTAAAACCATGTGCTACATTTTCAGGTTGAGACTTAATATTAGTGAAAATATTCAAAAATTGCTCCAGTTGGTTGATTGGAAGGTTTTGAAGTTTACCATACATTTCTAACGGAACAAGTGTCTTGGTAAACATAGCTACTCCATCGATAAGATTATTATGTAAAAGTTTTTGGTGTAAAAATTCTTTCCAATTATTATTAATAATAGACATTGTATAAAAAGATGACTTGTCCAAATATTTAAAGATATCAATATACCTTCAATATAAGAAAACAACATTAGCAATTAGGAATAGTTAACAAAAAACATTTACAGTACAGTTTAAACAAACTAGTTTTATAAAGTAAATAATCAAGACGATAGTCTATAAGACAACTTTTCACCACTAAAATAATCATAAAACAATATATAAATATTTTTATAAAATAAAAAAAGCAACCAACGTCACAAGCGTTAGTTGCTTTATTTTTTTTGTTACAAATAGTTACTACGTAAGAATTACTATAAGGGATAGTCCATTTACTACGTAACGCAAACTTTTACAACAAACAAAGTAAAAACTGATCAAAAATTTTCCCTCGTAGAGTCCTTATTTAAATAAATAAGCCGCGTAAAAGAGCTTAATATCTCCAACTTCTGTTTTTAAAATATATTTTGAGTTGCGTAATTTATGGACGACCCTAAGCAATACAGCTAAAAAAAAACCTTACATATATGACATTTAAAATTTAATACAAATCTTTCTTTTAAATAGAAATTTATTTTTAAAAATTTTAACTATAAAAATAAAGCAAACCTTAAAATCTTTTTTTTTTTTTAGAAGCAAATATCAACAGTTTAAATAAATATATGTTCAATAATTATATATAAATACATATATAAATACATATATAAATATATATATTTGGTTGTGATATTTCCGATATAACGTTACAATTGTTAACTAAAATAATTTAAAACATGATGATTTCTGAAATGAAATATTAAACTACTACGATATCTAAAAAAAACATTGAACTGCAAAAATTTATAACTCTAATAATTTACAATATATTCTATGATAAAAAAAACTTTGAAGCGTATTTACAACTTTTCTTCTAGTGCATCTATGACTGAATGAATCAAACGCGAATCACCTAATATGCGGTTATGCTCTGCTGTTGAAAACATTCTGTGTATAATTTGTTGGTTTTGTTTACCTTTCCATATTTTACAACCTTCCAGGCTTCTTAAGTTTACAGTTCCGTCACCATCACCAAAATGTATCAAAGGAAGATTATCCGGAAAAAAACCTGTTTTGTAATAGAGCATTTCAGGTGTTTCAACTAAATTCCCATAAAAACAGAACATTTTCACTCCAGGAGGTTCAGCACTCCATGCTGAAGGGACAAGTTTCTTTATCGTACGCGCTAATGGAAAGTTTATATCTTGAAACAATTCATCATAGTCATTAACAGAATAGCTTTGTTTATTTGTCTTCACAATTGCCTAAAATAATTTAAAAGCAAGATATGTACAATTTATAAGATCCTTAAAATGTATAGCATTATACATTAATTTAATATAAAACATATTTACCTCTTGATCATGCCAAAATCTAGAATCTGGTAGTATGTAAGCAAGACTAGGAAATGTACGTTGAAAAGCTCTAAATGTTGTTGGATTATCAAGAATATGAGGAACTCCAAAACCATCTCCATTAATATAAGCAAGCACAGCTTTAACTGATCCTCCAAAAACACCTACAAACAGAATATAAATATATATATATATATATATATATATATATATATATATATATATATATATATATATATATATATATATATATATATATATATATATATATATATATATATATATAAGGACTCTCCCCTACCTATCTATAGGGGAAAGGGTTCGAATAGTTATTAGGAGTAGATACAACAGCAAAAATTCATTGATTGGATTGACGCGTCGGCGGAGATTATTTCAAATTTGAGTTGATTAGAGAAGGAGGGGGACCAATAGATTGGGAGGAAAGAGGTTGTAACTTTTCTTTTTAAATTTTTTTACTCATTATTTATAAGCGCATGTTTTATTTTTGTATTTTGTTTACTCATACTCGTCAGATTTAAAACTTGATGAAGAATTTCTCTTTCTTTATTAAGTTTTAAATCTTGTATGTATGTATGTATGCATGTATGTATGTATGTATGTATGTATGTATGTATGTATGTATGTATGTATGTATGTATGTATGTATGTATGTATGTGTATATATATAAACGAAATGTGTATACATATAGATTTATAGATTATTTCGTTTATATGTGTATACATATAAACGAAATAGTAATAATAAAGAGCCAAAAAAACAAAAAAAAAAACAAAAAAAAAAAAAACATAGTTAAAGCGCTTTTTTAAATTAAACTACTTAGAAATTATGATGCTTCAAAAACATTATATTAGAAATTTGACTTGCTTAAAACAACTTTTACTTGATAACCAAAAAACTAAATCATGAAAAAATTGTAGAATTAGCAAACATTTACTATCATACATATTTTTCTTGAAATAAAGTAAATAAAGAGAAATTGAAATTTAGGAAAACAACATTCTGCTTCTAAATTATTGATGGCGTGTAACTTTTGTTTAGTATTAACTTTTCTCTATTGATCACGAAAATATTACTTAAAAAAAACCCAGAAATAATAAAATCTTAGTTATAAAGTACACATCAAAAAGGTCAGCAATTAGTTTGCCAACCTTTTCTAAACTATTTTTGGTTGCTACAAAATTTTTAAAAACAAGGTTGGCAAAGAATTGCAGACCCAAAACACTTTTAGGTAGGCAGTTAGGTTGGCATTGTCGAACACTAACCCTTAATCTGAGGGCTATCTATGCATATATTAATTATTTTTTCACATTAAGTATAATTTAAAGCAATTTTAACATTACCATACAGATATAAAAATAGTATACATAAAATGACAAATTAACTCTTTTGCACCTAAATTTAATATTTATAAACTGTGAAAAATCACTGTACTATACTAAAAATTTTCACCACAAAACGGATGATTAAGCACCAAACCAGCTTATAGAACAAATATTTTAAAATGAAATTATAGTAAATTTAAAACACAATCCTGCCACACCAAATTAACCAAAAGTAATTGCTATCCATTGCAATTTAAAAATTTTAGTATAGTATATTGTTGTTTTCAAGAAAACAGTACATAAATCATTCTTTAATAAAAATTTTTTTTTTTTAATTTTGTTGTTTACCATCTAAATATCATGTGACTTTTGAGTGAAAAGTAACACTTGTTCTATTAGAAATGTATGGTAAACTTCAAAACCTTTTAATCTACCAGCTGGAGCAACTTTAGAATATTTTCACTAATATCAAGTCACAACCTGACAATGCAGCACATGGTTTTACTATTGATATAAATTTACAAGAAGTAAGGTTTGTTTATAGACATTATAATTTTCATAGCGTTTACTTTTTAAGAAAAGTCATAATCTGACTTTACAACTTGGCAAAATTAAAAAAAAAAAGCTAATAAAGCATTTCATAATTTTAGATAGGATCAAACATTTTAGAATTTAACCATAAAAATCAAACTAAGTACTAAACAAAAATAATGAGACAGCATAACAGCTTTATATTGGTGTAAAAAGTTTCAAAACAATTCTTGCAAATAATCTTATTGCATTTTTCAACATTTGTCAGTGAGGGTGACAGCTCACAGCATAATATTTACTATGACATCACCTTAAAGTTTGCTTATGACAGCCAATATGGTAGCCAAACATAAAGTTATTCTTCAAAATATAAAATCAAGCAGTTTTGGTCAATAAATTAAAATTAACAGTTCAAATTATAAAATTAAAACTCTTTTTATTTAACAATTTATTATTATAATTTGAATTATTGAATTATTAAATATAAATTAAAACTTTCTTTTGACTTTTCTTAAAGTTCATTTATAAAAAAACAAAAAAACAAAAACAGCAATTAAGATTTCCTAACAAATTTTATTTTTTTTTTTATCTGGAAGTTTTATAATTTTAAAACAATTTTAATAAACATGATTTGCAATCATTCAACTTGCTTTATTTTTATAACTATTATAATTAGTTAATTCCTTATTAATAGGTAATAAGGGTTAATAATAGAAAGGGATTCGATGTAAAATGCTAAAAGTAATATTGTTACTGTAACATGTGACATATTTTGAAAATGTTCTGAATGTTTTCTTTGACATGAATTGTGAATAAATTACATAAGTAATTTGTGTTAACATTAAATAGACCAAATGATATCAAAAGTACAAAGCCCAATTTTGGGCTAAAAAAATCATAACATATTTACCATTTTTATTTCTTTATTTGTAATGGTGTTACGGTTATCATATTTTGTAAAATTTTTGTAAGGAAGTGTAAAATAAAAATCCAAAAAAATAGATTCAACACAGAAATGAAAATTCAAATAAATTTTTTATACTGAATTTTAGTTAAAAACATTTACTAATGACACACTTTAAAAGTAGAAAAAACAGGTAGTAGTTTCAGTTTTATTTACACAAGTGCATAAAAAGAATTCAGGCATTTTATGAAAAAATCAAATTTATGATAAGTTTATAAGGCAAAACATAATGAAATAAGTTTTAATATTCTATTAAATAAATAAAAATTATTGTTTTACTTATAAAATTATCATTTTAAAGTTTTAATTTAAAATTGACTTTGGTAGTTTTAAACAATTCTTAATGTCTCTAGATATCTCCCTTTTCTTGCAGTTAAAGTGCAAGGAGGGGTAGCAGCAATATAGTAAAGGAAAGCAAACAATTTTTGGTATACTTGCTTTTTTGTTTTATTTTAAGTCCTGCTATTATGGTACACCAACATCCAGATTAAAAAATATATAAATCTTTTTTTGAAATAAAAAAGACTTTTACAAACCTGAAATTGTAGTCCATGCCATTATAAACTTATCTTTCCATGATTGTGTTTGCTTTTGCAGAAAGTGGAGGGAGTACGGAGCACCCATGCTGTGTGATATTAACATTACTGTTTTATTACCATTTTCAAAATATGTTTTTTCAATCAATAAACGCAAGTTTTCAAAATAATCACCAGCTGAATCTAATATATAAAAATATGGAAAACTAAAAATACTTCAAAGTGATTCCATCTAACATATACAATTTAAATTTACCTCTAGATCCACAGACCTATGTCAACATTTCACAAAAAATAGGGGTCCCAGAAATATGAAGGGAAAAAATTAAACAATCATGAACATAAGTTTATTATCACAATGGTATTTATATATGTAAAGTTCCACAAGTCAGCTATTCATCTTTTGAAATTATTTTTGAAAACTTCAGTCTTGCTTTGTCAAAAACTAAAAAAAAAATCACAAATTTGAAAAAATTATATTTGAAACCATTAAGGTCAATGCACTAAACTTAATGATTAGACTTTTAAGAACATAATTTTATATTATATTGTTTTTGAAAACATAATCTTTTAATTCTAAATTGAAACTTATTTAAAAACATCCTTTTTTTTAATTGAAAAATTAAGCTTTTTTTCTGGTGTTTCTAACTTCAAAGAAAATTTTTTTCTAATAATGAAAATTTCTAAATATGAAAAAAACATTTTTCATATTTAAAAAAATTAAACTATTTTGAAAAATTCGTTTCTTTAAATATAAAAAATTATAACACTTAAGAGACTTTAGCAATATGCAAATTTAGATTTATATTTAATTTTCTTTAACAAAATAAAAAGCAGTTAAACTCTTTAAAAAAGTAATATTGTTTTAATGAATTTACTTACACAAATATATATTAATGACCAGTAAGTTAGCCTCAGTGTATAAAATCTTTTGTGAATAAATTTTTTTTAACTGAATGACTTGATCAAAATTTCTCAAAAGTAAGTTTAAACAACAAGCATCAGATTTTGTAAAACTTTCATAAAGTATGAAACTTACTTCTTTTTGTTATCACAGCAATATTTTTCAATAGTCAATATCTTATTTTTCTGTTAAACTTTTTATTTGAAAAATTTAATATAAAATAACTGAAATAAGATTCCAAACTTGAGTCACTTTTACTTTAAGCTATACTTTTAGGTTTAAAAAAAAAAAAAAAATTAAATCAAATTTATGAACTGTGCGGAACTCTACATATAAAATGTAAAATAAATTTATTCAAAAGTCTTTTGTTAATTCATATAAAAATCTACTTCGCCTATATCTAATATTATTTCTGCTTTTAATTTTCTATAATAAATTAATGTTGAAAAACTAAGAACATTTTTCATTCAAATAAAACTTCGTAATGATATAAAAATGCAATGTTTATGGCTTAGATTTCTTTTGAATAAGAGGCATTCCATAATTAATATACATTTTAAATTACTCAAAAATTTGAGGAAATTAAAATGTATATTAATTATAAAATGTCCCCAAGTTAATTTCTTTTAATTATTACTTTACTTCTAAGAGAAAAAATCCGTCTACCTAAAATAAGCCAAAAGAAATTTAATTATTCTTATTAAAATTTTTTTGTAGAATAGCTTTACTATATGTTTGTAGTAACTGCATATTTTTAAGTACATTAATGTTTTATAAGCTGAAATAAATTTAGTTCGATATCAAGAATAAAAATTAATTTAAAAATTAGATAAAAAATTATGTATACTTTATGTTCCATTATCTACTAATAAATAAAAACATTATATAGAATAGAAATGAAAACAAATTTAAAATATAATAAATAACATAAAACATTGATTTTTTTTTTTTTTTGTTACAGCCAATTTATAGAAGCACAGAAAGGTATAAGTAAAAAAGATTTTAGCCCAAACACAGCTATAATTTTTATTTTACTTTGATTTTAAAATAAGTATAATAAAAAATAATATAATAAAATAATAAAATAATAACTTTCTTTTGATTTTATAATAAGATACTATAGTTTAGGCATTTATCTTTTTTTGTTAAAAAACTATATTTTTCCTCATTAAAAAATTACATCAGTTTGTTAAATGGTTTGCAAAAAAATAAAGTTCCTACGTCTATTTACTATTTGTAATACCTCAGTGATTGGGAGCATGGAAAAGTGAACACGTAAATAATAATTATTATTAAGTCGAAAAAGAAAAAAAAACACACTCGGATCATAACGAAAGTCATATGGTGCAGCTCGCAATGTTTTCCCTCTTTCATAGCCAGCTAACCGAGCAAGATTGTCAACAAATGGGTAAAAATACATTCCTGGTATATGAAAACTAGGATCCAACCACTCAATAGCTGATGTATTGCCAAAGTCAGGTACTCTAGTATATACACCTTTTGAGTTTTCCATCCTTTTTGTATCATCATTGTAATTAAGC